GGTCATTTGCATGTGACTGTTCATTTAGGCTACTTCCCGGAATTAGGCTACTACAGTACTTCATTTAGGCTACTACTTCTCGGATATAACTGTATTAGCTAGAGTCTTCCATTTCAGGTGCCATAGGTTGAAGTTGCCAAGCAGGATGATGTTTGGGGCTGGATTTGTGAGGTTTTCTAAGCAGTGTTCTATTTTCATTAGTTGGTCTTTAAACTGCTGATGATTTGCCTCCGGTGACATCTATACAAGAACAATATCTACATTTAAAATCTCTTAAGATTGCTTATCAGCACATCCACCATATCGTTTGTGGTGTTTAGCATCTCAGTATAGATAAGTGCATCTTTGATGTACAGGCTGACCCCACCCTGTAGCCTGTGTTTCTTGTCGCATCTGAAAAGATTGTACTCCGAAATCTATATTTCACCATCATGGTAGTCCTTGGTGTGAGTTTCTGTTAGGGCTGCAAATTGTTTGCAGCCCTAACAATTTGCAATTTGCCTCATGTAGGAGGCCATCAAATTAAGTGCACTTTGTTAGATTTGCATGTTTTTATACCCTGAATGTTGGCAAATAAAAATGATGTTACCATGTTTGTGGAAGTGCTGGATGCTTTACTTGGTGTTAATATCTGAGGCTCTGGTAAGGAGGCCACTGTGTTTGTATCCTCTCTAGCATTTGACCGAGTTGGTGGTAGAGTCTGGACATTTTTAGCCATTTTCCTCCTCCTCCTCCTCCTCCTCCTCCTCGCTAAAAAATCATCCTGGTAAATAGTGTTGTGGCTGCTTTCATCGAGGCGGTCTGTCGGTCTTATTTGCCTGGTACCTTTTATATGAAAAGCTGAACATTCTTTATTGAAACAGTCATTCTTATTTAAAGAGTTTTTGCACAGTTCTGGGTGAAAGAAATCACAGTTTTTGGTTCATTTACCTGTACTAAGAAGGTTCCTGCACTTTCTGAGATAGTCATACTTACATAGTCCATTTGTTCTCCCCGATATCCCACATTTACAGATACCCTATTTGTAATATCGCCAGGTTTTGGGTCGTTTTGTTTGCTTGTTTCAAAAACCTTGGCACCAACATCGCGCCAGGTTTAGTCGCCAATACCGCGCCTGACCCCAACATCGCGTCCGGCGCCAGCATCGCATCCAGCTCCGGGTTCAATACAGCATCCAGCTCCAGCGCCAACAATACATCCGGCCCCAATGCCAACATCACATCCGGCCCCAGCGCCAACATCACATCCGGCTCCAACGCCAACATCGTACCCGGCTCCAATGCCAACATCATAACCGGCTCTGGAGCGCTGAGCTGTAGCTCCAAATCTGGTTCTGCCTGGGTGTCCTTGACAATTTGTTTCGAAACATTTGAGATTTCCATGCAGGCAATTAGAAGTGATTCTCTGCACTCTGCTGGGGTTTTATAAAAAATTGCTATCATCTTCAAGACAGTAATATTATCAGTTTTGCAGAGCCAGTACACCGAGTGGTCCCCTGGGACCAATTTTCCTGGCATTATTTGACATGTTGGCACAATTACTGTGTATGGCTGCTGAACATAGTTGGCACTGGAAGCTCTGGTGGTATAGTAATCTACTTCCTTGTTGCATTGTGTGCACATCTTTACTAAGGGCATTTTGACCATAATGCTTCTGGTCAGTGGTGAACACACACTCCCTCATCAGTGTGTGTGTGTATCCTTAACGTCCAGGGAGGTCAACCTGGACGTCCATTATTGAGAGATAAGTGAAAAATACAAAACAAATGGAACACATCTGAAACACAGAAAAATTGTCATAATGGAGCAGCCTACCCAACAAACACCAAACAAATCTTTATGGCATTTATTGTTTTTCAAAATTCATCTTTTTTTTCTTTTTTCTTTTTTCCAAGAAACATGGAGCAGCCTACCTGACAAACACCGAACAAACCTTTTGCTATAGAAAAAATGAAAAAAAAAATGAACAAATTTGAAGAAAGAAAAATGTCATAAAGGTTTGTTCAGTGTATGTATGGTAGGCTGCTACATTATTTAAAACATCGAATATCATATTGATGTTTTTCGGTGGTAGAACGGATTATTTCTATTTACATTCTTTTCAATCGGGAACTCCATTTTAAATGACGTCAGTTTCACATGACGACTACGGCGCCGGAATGGATTAAAGTCATTATTCGAGGTTCCACTGTACTTTACATTTAAAGTGGCCGTACGCCATTGTGCTCCTTGCACCTCTCCGAGGCGACCAGGTTCTGGTACTGGTTCCTAGTAGGCATAAGAACTCCAAGTGACTGATGACTAAAAACTAATACAGCACATATCAGTTCAGATAGCTTCGGGGAGCTGGCAGGGTTTCCCCTGAAAACTAGTGTTGAATGCAATGAAACACCTCTGTCTGGTAAAGCTCCAGTGGCTCTAACAGAGCCTCGAGCTCTAGCAAACTTGGCTATCTTGCCGAGATTGCTCCAAAGTACCAGTCATATCAGTTTAACAAGTTCATTTGGCCTACTGGGAACCAAAGCCAAAATCTGGCCTCATCCTCCCAAGATGTGCATGGAGCAAATGACACTCTGCTATTACACTGGGAAAGCATCCAGTAAATCAGAGAAGCTTTACAGACAACTGCTGGGTTCACAAAACTGAGTTGTTGTAAATGTATATATATGCATGTAGATGTATGTATAACAATAAGTACATTGTACATATTGTTGTACCCTGATTATTGTACATCAGTACAATAACTTTAGTGTTAGGTTAGATAAAGGTACAGAATTGGAATCCTTCATTAATCAAGGGCATGTTAACTCGAAGCCAGATGAAAGTTCTGTTGTCATTATTTTATTCATTTCTATGAAGAGCCTAACTTAACAATGTAAATTTATGTAGAAATATGAATTACTGTATGTTGGTTATTGTAAAAAAAAAAAAAAAAAAATAGCCAATCATAATTGACAAATGTAATAAGAAATTTGGCTAATTCGAATTGAAGATTATCCCCACATGATCAAAATTACTGGTTTTAGACAGTATGATCAAGAGGTGGCTAAACCTCCCAATTTTAATAGGAAGTTTCTATTAAAAGCACATACAATTGTTTTTAAATTTCAAGCCAACACAAAAATGCATTTTAAGGTACCTGTACTGTAAGAGCTGGTAATTTGGATCACAGTAACCCAAATCTTCCAAGTAATATAAACAAATTCATGTTCAAGTATTTGACCCATTTTGACCTTTTAACCCAAATTGGAATTCAGGTCAAACGGCTGTACTAAATGATAAACTCAAATAAATTTGAGTTCGAGTGCTGACTTCTCAACTCGAATATAATTTTTTGGTTACAGAGTCTTCTGCTGAATAAAAAACATGAATGAATTAAATTTTTTCATATTTGAATGTTCCTGGTAAAAAATTGGCTAACTTGAATTGGGGTGGGGCTCCATATGATTCAGATTACCTGGCACAGACAATATTTAGAGGCAAAGTAGCGAGAAAAATAAACAGGACAAAACCATAATATATTTCCCTACCAGGAATATGTTTTCAAGTGCCCAACAGAAGGGTGAGATGGGTAGAGTTGCATATTAATCATCTCTTTAGGCAGGGCCCACAAAAAGAACAGTTTAAACCATATGTATTAATAATTAGTCCCATAAACTCATAAATTACATATTGGATACTTTTGTAATACTGGTTAGATATAGTCACCCATGGAAAAATTACAGTGAAAGATGGAAAGTGGCTGAGGTTCCTCCTAGTTTTTACCAGTGATGACCTCTAGCTAGGCCAATGATGAAATACAGTGGAACCTCGAGTGACGAGCGCCTCAATTTACGAGCATTTTGAATAACGAGCGCGCCAATTGCCGACAATGTGTCTCGACTGACGAGTGTTCATTTGATTAACAAGAAAACCGCATGGTGTGTTCCCGCTGCTTCTTGGACATTTACGAATGCCTCCCATGATGCAAATAACTTTTTTTGTTTTGTTTAAAGATGCTAATGATGCTGGGATGTAAAGGGGTGGCTGCTGTGATTTTGCAAAGCATTGAATTTTTTTGTAGAATAAAAAAAATAAAATTGAAAAAAGAACAAATGTCAAAAAGGTTCGTTAAGTGTTTGTCAGGTAGGCTGCTCCATGTTTCTTAAAAAAATAAAAAAAATTGAACAAATTTGAAAAACGGACAAATGCCATAAAGGTTCGTTCAGTGTTTGTCATGCTATGGTGTGCATATACCATTACAAGGTAGGCTGCTCCATTATTAATACATCATCAAAACAAATTGAACACATTTGAAACAAAGAAAAATTGTCATAATGGAGCATCCTACCTGACAAACACCAAACGAACCTTTTCGACATTTGTTCTTTTTTCATTTTTTTTCCGTTTTTTTTTTTTTTGTTTTTTTTCCAAACACCGAACAAACCTTTTGCTATAAAAAAAAAATTGAAAACGGATAAATGTCATAATGGTACGTTCAATGTATGTCAGGTAGATGCTCCATTATTTAAAAAATAGAATATCATATTGATGTTTTTCGGTTTAGAACGGATTATTTTTATTTCCAATATGTTAAATGGGGAAATTTGTTTTGAAAGAAGAGCATTTCATATGACGAGCACGGCGCCAGAACGGATTAAATTCGTTATTCGAGGTACCACTGTATTAGTTGGTGGTTACCTCTTCAAATACCACTTACCCGTTGAGTCTTAGGCTTTGCTTCTCCTTGGTTTATTATTACGCAAGTAATCCTCATTTTTTCCACACATTTTATCCCTCGGCAAGAGCAAGACCCAACAAATTCACTCAAACTAAAGCTTGAAAGTGTTTTAAAAACATTGTCAATAACTAAGGGATACATATTGTTCCCAAGAAATATTCTACATAAGGCAGCTCCCCATGGAAGGGAATGTTTCCAGAAAAAAAACAAGGTATCAGAGATTAAAAAGAGATAAATACTGTATACAGTACTATATTGACAAATTAAATGTAATTTCTTACCTTCAGGAAGATCCTTTTTAAGGGACTCAAGAGTGTGTGTTTCTCCTGAGCCTTTTCTCTTGATTGTCAACTTGCTACTGCTTGGTCCATCCGCTTGCTGGTGTTGCTGGCTGACACTCGAGGTTTTTTGTCGTACACGACCTAACGCCAACTTTTCTCCATGAGTCAAATCACCATTTAACATGTTTGTCAGATTATTTGCACGCAACCGGCTCATCAAACTATCACTGTTCTTTTCTAAATCACTTTTTAAATCTGATTTTCTTATAATTTCACTCCCTCTCTTTTCAAGTTCTACTTTAAAAAGCTCCCCAGCAGCTTGGGAAGTAGTCACACCGGATGATGTTGACAATGCAGATCCAACTGAAGGGATCATTGAAGACTGATTGGAGGAGGAGGATGGATTTATATGTGGCTGCTGCGTATGTAAAGCTGCCACTTTGGTGATGCTAGGGGGCAACGTCTCTAAAATTTTGTGACTAGCAATTTCGCCTACACTATTCAAATCTCCAACTTTCCTGATAGGCGTTTTAGTTTTCTGTCTTGTTCTTAATTTTTCCGATTTTGAAATTTTAGAACTTTCCGATTTCATCACAGATAAACGGCCATCATCTAAAGTTCTTGGAACTTTTAGCCTACCCTCCAAACCCTCCTTGAATTTCATTTTCAGTGGAGCTTCCTCCTCCTCCACATCAACCTTATGCTTTTTACCATCAATAATTTTCAACATAGTATTACTTTCTTCTCCACCTCCCTTGTCTTTACTACTCTTTAATTTGATCCCTCTTTTTCCACTGTCATTATCAGATTCACTACTTCGCACCTTGTTTCTGTAACTCCTCCTCTTACTTTTATCCTCTTTGCACCCATCTTTCTCTTGATTTCTTTGACCATCTCCATCACCCAGAGGATTTACAATGACTGCTTGTGTAGGGTGTAATTTAATATGAAGTTTAGGTATTCTTGGTTCACTTCCTGACTGTGATCCTAAACTTGAGTTTGAAATTATTTCTTTACGGTCACCTTTTTTCACTCGTGGAACAAAAGTGGCTTGTGCCACAGCTTCTCTGCCAATTGTAAGTTTTAATCTGATTGATTCCCCAGTACTGCTAGAACTGACTACACTATTCTCCCTCGATGATCCTGGGCTAGAATCTCTGTCATGAGATTTTGATCTGTCCTGGCTTATCACCGTCTTTCTTGATTCAACACTGAGCACTGACATTCTAGAGGTTTCAGAATCTGACTGATCAGTTTCTTTCTTTGAGGTTGCACTCATATTAGATTCTTCATCAGAAACTAGTGAATTTGAATGAACTTCTTCATTCACTGTTGGTCTGACCTCTGAGTCCGAGTCTGAGCTTTCACTGGGCCTTGGTTCCAATAGTCCAGTATTAGGGTTGATCAAGTACTGACTCTCCTTGCCACCAGACACAAGCTGAGGTGGTGAAGGAGGCACTGCTCGTGACTCACCCAGAATACTTGAATGACCAGGATTTAGCAAAGGTACCCTTGGATGGATGCTTTGGCTACCTCCTATAGTCATGCAACGTTGCTCTGTATTGTAAGATGGTCGTGGACCAGGTGGTGGCTGTCCTGTGGCCTGTGGATGTTGCTGTAAGCCACTACTAACACTGCTAGGTAATCTAGGATGAGGAGAGACAGTACTAGTTATAACAGACCCACCAGAATAGACCTGCTGGTGAGTATGAACTCCACTAAACCCTGTACTGAACTGTGTAGACAAGGTTGATCCAGTCAAACTTGAAGCAGTTACAGTAGTACTGAAAGTTGCAGAACTGGTGGGAGGCGGTGAAAGTGCCGGCACTGCAGGTAGAGGTAGGTTCGTGAGAGGGGTGTGTGGAAGGGAATCTGATGAAGGTGTTGACGTTGTAGAACGAGATGAAGGAGATGTAGGAGCAGGTGAGCCATGTGGTGAACTACCAATAACTACCTTAGCCTTGCTGACACCCACTCCTGGCTGGTGATCAGGTTGTCGTAGCAAATCTACCAAAAGAGGACTGTTCTTTAACACATTACCTCCTGTCCTTTGACTACCTTTCACTACCTGTGGGTGCACTCGATTATTCACTGTCTGAGTCACTGACACTGGGAAAATACCACTAACAGGTTGATTTGAACTGACTTGCACAATAGAAGGCATCACTTGTGTCACAGGATGTGCTATGCTACTTCCACCACTAGCCTGACCTGGCACATATTGAGTCCCATTTAGTTGTGGGACAAATGGTCTTTGCACAGGAGCCCCAGGAGCACGCAACTGGGATTGCTCAAGGCTAGGATAGGGTGGAGGAGGATTATTCACCGGGCGTGGAGCAGCATTAGTCACAGTGAGACCAACCGGTCCAGGCACAGTAGGTTGTTGATGTAGCAACTCTCTACCTTGAATGGTTTGTGCAACCTGGTTCATAGAGTTAAAGGGATAAAGTGGCCTTGTTTGGGCCATGGGGCGTGGGGTCATAGGAATACAATCCCCAGGGGGAGCCACCACATTTGGACTACGAAATGCTGGGTTTGCTGCATGGTCCACAGATTGAGCAACTCCTGGCATGAGTCCAACCCCTCCCAGTGCTGCTGTAACATTTCTTGCAACACTGGATGGTCCAGCGCCATCATTGGTTCCTCCATCCGTCCGTAGTACAATTTCTGTTGCCTCATTATTGGGACCAGCCACTTTTAGCGAGATTACCTAAGGAGAAGTGAGATATAAATAATTATTTCAGCTTATTAACTACTAAGAGTAATATAAAACATTAATAATTTGTCAAGGTATATACAACTTTTACTCCACTCCTACAAATGTACCAATTCCCCCCAGTTCCACACACTGAGGCATTCGCACCCCTTACTTATCACCCTCCCATCCAACCAACCAGCCAGCCAAATAAAAAAATCACACAGAAATTTTGCAAACATAGTTAAAGTTAACTAAACAAAGGCAAATTTAATTTAGAAATTGAAAATGAAATTTATGTAAAATAACTAATGTAAAATGCAGTTGAGACAAAACTGCTATTTCTGGGAGAGGGGGCCGAGAGGAGGAAGCCCATTCGACTCCCCAGGGCTATTCTGGCTGATATGAATGAATTAGACCCTGGCATCAATGTGCATGAAATTCTAGGCCTACCGGGGACCACGAGCCAGAACCTGGCCCCTTCAGAGAGGCGCAAGGAGCAATGGCCTATAGAACACCCCCCCCCCATGTGGTTGGAAGCATTCTATGCATGCCATCGACCGAGTCAGGCACCCAGAACGGTAAGCGCCCCAAAAACCCCCTATCCTGGTTAAAATATTGCTACTGAAAGCTGAACTAGTTTTTTTTATTATTATTATTTTTCTACCACAGACGTAGCCAGACATTTACAATGCTAACCAGCCTATACACATTTTCTTCTGTCCTCCATGGACAGGGAGAAAGATCTGTTAAACATATAATTCAGGGATTTATTGAACAATCAACCAGAGAAGGTGATTGCAGTGCTTTTAAAATGCTAATCTAACCTACATACATAAATACATAGATACACAGATTTACGTCTGCCCTACATAGTGTTCGATGTGTCTTATACATTATGTCATTAACACTTTGTGCGGATCAGGACTCCGCCCGGAGTCCTGTTTCGCCTACCCGCTTCCGCAATGTGGACATAAAATGATGTCCTGAAAAAAATATTTGTATAAAATTCAATTTTAATCCGATTTACTTTGGGTTTGTTTCAAACTGCGCGCCATAAGGCTCTCTTTCTCACCACTAGGCTGCATGGTACAATAAGTTCATGAAAGGTGTGAACCACTTCGATCAAATGGTATTACCATTTTACCAGGAAAACTCACAAGTGGATCTAAAAGATAATGTTTTATTTCCTGCAAATGGCTTTGCATAATGCCTTTGTTTTGTACAAATACAACACAACTGATTAAAAAAAGCTAACATTGCTACAGTTCCACGAGGTGGCAAATTGGGCCCTATTGTGCTGGGACCCGGAAGATTGGCCTCAAACAGCAACAGTATCTCAACACTTGCGGCACGCTCCAGACATAAATGATGACACAGGTCCTGCCTATGCTGACGCCATGCAAACTCCTGGACCATCTGGTGTGAGGCGGCCCTTGTTCACTTCAACACCTCAAGCTGAAGCAGCAACCGAATCAGAACCCGAGATGTCTGGCACACTGCCATTTGACGAGACGGTTTTGTCAGATGACTCTGACTCAAATGTTGAACCTCCAGCGATTCAGTTGATTCTGAAAATCGCATGAACTACAATCTGAAATGAGTATTTTGATACCAGAATGAACACTCACATAAACTGCCATAAGTTTATGTGACCTATAACCTTCATAGATTTTTTTTTGGGTGTAGCGTGTGTCTGCATGAGTGTCCCAAACGGGTTGCAGGTGGGTGACTTTAGCCGTTTATACTGGTAATGCTTCCCCCATATCATGTATTATATGCATATGTCTGTTTAGGGAATTTTATTCCGATCAATGTACAACCAAAAATAACTGTGTGCAACAAGTATAAACTTGACAAACATAACAAAAGTAAAAACATTTCGTGTGTGTTTGACACTCACTGATATGTTCCAGCGTTGTTTTATATTTGGCGCTATTCTATCTTACGCTTTGTTGATCTTTTTTACCTACGGGCTCATAGAACATTCTATTGCGAACACATTGACACAAAAATGAATGACATACATAGAATAATAATGTCAGGACAGTGAAATAAGTATAAACTTTCAAAGCACCGTATCGCACATGTGTCGTCCCGTCACCGATACCGAGTAACCATTATTCTACGTTTATATTCATATCACCGTGTTGGGAATTTCATTGCGAGTCTATTGATACCAAAATTAACGCTGTAGGACAAGTGTGGAGCTGATAACAATCCCAAGAGTAAAAACATTTTGTTGCTGTTGGGCGCTCACGGCGAGTCATCTTCGTAGTTATTTATTTGGTGCTGGTATCCCTATACGTTTCGTGACTTTTTTTTACTGATGTTCTTCTAGAGAATTTTATTGCGAACACGTTGGTACCAAAATGAAATACGTAGCTCGAGAACTAAGGTCAGGAGAGTAAAAAGAGTATACACATTTTTGTTTTTACGCTTAAGCGACAAAAATGCCGCGCGCACATACCGCTTTTTTTTTTACCTTCGCCGGGCGCGCGAAAGTGTTAATGTGCGGAACTAGTGGAGCAGAACAGTAGACATTTGTTTCCCCAAATGAAAACGAGCATAACGTCATCAAGTCACCACGCCGCTGTCTGAACAACCCCCCCCTCCCAGGAGGGGGAAGGGGGAGCCCAAGACCCCCGCACTGACTATCCACCCTTCAGTTCTGTGGCTGATGTGGAACTGGTAAGGTCGTGTGCCTCCAGCTCCAGATTTTTCTAATTCTGTGCCTTGTGGTGTGGTGCTGTCTCTCCAGTGATGTGCGAGCCCAGAATAATTTCTGCGATACTCAGGCTGCATGCACCTAGGGTTCCCTTCCCTAGGTGCCCTGTAAGTACTGCCCTTGGGGGCTCCTTCCACAAGTCATCTTGGAATCTACCTCCACTGTGTTTTTTGCTGCTCAGTGATTGATCGCCCTTGGAGTCGGCTGGGGAGTTTCTTGCTCCCCCGTTTGCCTCTGAGTAGGAGGTAGTTTTCGTCACTGGTTGGGGCACAGGTTGCAGCTAGTTGTCGCCTCTCATTGCGGCCGGCTCTGTTCTGCCTGGGCACATTGTCCTCTTGTGGTTACCTTGAGGTTACCTACCTCGAGGTGATTTCGGGGCTCAGCGACACCGCGGCCTGGTCGTTGACCAGGCCTCCTGGTTGCTGGACTGGTCAACCAGGCTGTTGGACACGGCTGCTCGCAGCCCGACATAACCTGATGCGGGGGTTTTCTTTTCATTTCTGTTTTCCTGTCTGGTAGGGGGTCTGCTCCTTGCACACCCTTTGTATGTTGGTGGTCCTCCGCTAGGCCCCCGTGAGTGTACATGTCCAGGGGGGGTTCAGCTTTAGCATTTTGCTTGGTAGTTTTTGGGCACTAATTAGCAGTACTCTGCCGACAGGGTACCGTTAGCAGATAACACGACTAACGGCGGCCCTGGAAAACCCCATGGGGGCTCTCTGATCCAATGGATGCGACCTCTGGGTCCCCTCTCAATTCGTGCGAGTTTGAAGGTTACTCTGTCCCCTTGTCTCGGGGACACTCACCGGTTGTGCCTCCATCATACGGCTTGTTGGATCAGTGACACATTCTACCCGGAGTCTGGTGCACACCAAAGCATCTGAGGGTTTAGGAATTAGGGCAGGGTTTAGTTGACTTTAAGACTCGGGTGGTTTCGGGGGATGCCCCTTCCGGTGTGGCAATGGAGGCATTCGAGCCTGGTCCTCCAGCTGGAGCTTCTGGGTCTGACCAGTGAGCCCCCTTCGTTCCTGATTTTTTGGCTGCTCCTGGTTTTTCTTTTGAGGCAGGGGCTTTGGAGGACCACTCAGCCCCGGGTCCTCGTGGTGAGGTTCCCGGGGCGGAGAAGGGGTTGACTTGGGGCCCTTTGGCCCCATTGGACCCAGCTTTAGTTTTTGTACCCTTTGAGCAGGGCTTGGTGTTACATGGTGTGGGGTTCTCTCTTTCCCCATCTTTGTAAGAGTTGGATTTAGCGTCTACCTTTCGTTCTTCGGTCCCATCTTTCCAGAGGTTTTTGGCCTCCCACATCCCACCCCACGTGGTGCGGGAGGCCATGGCGGCTTACCTCATGCGCGACTCGGATTAAGCCGTCATAAAGGATCCTCCTCCTTTCGTGTATGGATCTTCCTGTCCCTACTGGGTTCGTTATGAGATTCCGAAATCGTCCTGAACTGCCCCATTTTCTTCTTAGATGCATGGCATTCGTTCTGTTGGTCCTGCACACTTGAGTGGCACTAGGCTCATATGGTGGCCAGGTTTTCCTGGGGGATAGTTTGAACACCTCAATGTGTGCTTGTTCTACCCTGCCCTTCCTCGGGACGTTTGTGTGGTGCAGCTTCATGTGCAGGTTCCTTCCCATTTGGCTGCATTGGTCGCTGAAAACATGTGCGCCCGTGGCCTGTTGGCTTCGATCTTGCGATTCTTTTACCTTCTTGAACTGTCCTCGGACTGGCTTGAGAACGATGTGGAGGCACCTGGGGCCACTCCTGGGTCTGGTGCGTTGGCCTCAGCAGTGCGTGCATTGGCTGCTCTTTTGAAGCTGTTCGTGCCAATCCTGCGGGATGTGGTGTCGCTGCGTTTTGCTTCCTGCCTCGCTTGTCGGCAAGCGGTGCTTGCTTCCTCTGTGGAATCCGCTTGGGCCCTGGCTCTTAAGATTTCTTCGTCTTCTTTGCCCGTTGCTGTTTGCAGAGTCTGGGGTTGTGCAGTATCTGCAGGCAGCAGCTTCTAGTTGCTGTTCCATGTTGGATTTGTTGGTTCTCGGGGGAGGGTCTTCCTGGAAGGGTTGTGCCAGGGCTCTGTGTTCCTCCCATCGTGGAAGGCCAGTGGTGCCAGTTTCGGAGCCAGCGCAGCCTTTGGAACCATCTTCGTCTGGTCGGCGTGGTGATCGGTCTGTGCGCAGGTTGGGTTTCTGTAAAGGGTGTGGGGCCCTTACGTGGTTCGTCCCATTGACAGGGCTATGGAGGGGGAGGCGCGCACTGTTTGCTCACGCCTGGTCCCACAATTTGTGGACCTT